CGTCCACTCGCCTTCCGTCCATCTCTGAGGCAGGGCCCTCAGAAGAAGCTCTGGCCTCCGCCCTCGACGCCTCTGAGGCGGGCAGCACGGCGGCGGCGGAGCCGCCGGGGACCTCGTCGCCACCGCCGGACCCCCCTCGCTCTCAAGCGCCGGGGGAAGGCCGCGGCGAGAGGCCCGGTTTGCCCAGGGTCCCCAAGACTCCTCTGCGACAGCCAGATGACGTTCCGAGCTGCATCCGACGGGCACGAGAGGCCCCCAGGTCGGGGGCAGCCAGTCGGGAGGAGAGCGCCCATTCCGAGTCCTCCGACGCCAAGCGATTGAGACTGGAGCCTCCTCCTGGGCTGGAAGCTCCCGATCCAGGGACCGCCCCGGACGTTGAGGCTGGGAGTTCCGACCTCGAGAACCCCCCAGGGCTATCGGGCCTCAGAGAAAGAAGATCAGTTTCCGAACACGTTGACGAGATCGAGCGCAGACTCGAGCGGGGACAGTCAGCCGAACCTAGTGGGGAGCGAGAGCGCCCTCCTCGCCGCGGGAACGCTGAGCTTGCTTCTTTCTGGGTGTTTCCTCGTCCCGACGGCGAGGTTCAACTCGAAAGGACGTCAGAACAAGACAAGGTCTTTGCCACGGGCCGAGGAGGAGAGATCACCTGGTCTAAGCTCACCCCTGCGGAGAGGGCGAAGTTCGAGATTTCAGACGCGTCTGAATGGCGGAACATGGCATCGTCGGGCGCCGTGAAGATCATACCTCCCGCGGCTGCCAGAACCATCCGGGAGATGATGCCCGACCGCATCGTGTCTTCTCGGATGGTGCGGAGATGGAAGCATCAGGAAGGGACCTTCACAGAGCCAATTGCCAAGTCCCGCTGGTGCGTACACGGGCACCAGGATCCCGATGCCGGGTCCCTTGCCGCGTTTTTCCCAGCGCCCCAGACGACCGCGACGATGATGTTCCCTCAAGTCATGATGAACTTCAATGGTAGGAGATTGCAGATGTCAAGAATGAGTTTACCCAGTCCGACCCCATGCGACGGTCGAGCGGACCCATCGACGTTGAACCTTGCCACGGAGTCGGGGTGGGGGAGATGGCTCTTATAGAACTTCTCGTGTGTGTGTGTGTGTGTGCGGGTTAGACGGCGCGCCCGTTTCGTGGGGGCGCACCGTGACTAAGTACCTAGCATACATCAACTACCGTCGGCGTCTCCTGGAACCCTGCTGGTGGTCGGGCGAAGAGAACTATGCACATGCACCGATCCTGGCAAGGCCCATCCTTGACCCAGGATCGGTGCATATGACTTCCTGGCCAAGGTAGGAGGGCGTATGCACCGATCCTGGGCTCTGGATGGGCCTGGCCATAATCGGTGTATGTGCACAGTTCTTTTTCCCCTATGGTGGACCAAGATGAGCCAGAAGGGAGAGATCGAGAGCATGATTCTGATAGAGGTGGACGATTTCCTCAGCCTCGGCCTCTCCTGAGATCCGTGCCCGGACTAAACAACTCTTGGAGGCCCGTTTCAAGTTCGGTAAAAGCAAGGGCCTACAGGCAGGAGCAGTGGAGTACGCCGGCAGACGTCTTACTTATAACCCCACGCGGATTACGGTGGACCAAGAAAAGAATATGTTGGAGGAACTTCGGCCCCTCAACCTGTCCCCAGGGCGCCTGGCCCAGAAGGATGCCCCCCTGGAGGCTCCTGAGTTCAAGAGTCTCCGATCCCTGATCTATAAGATCAACTGGGTTGGGAGGGGGGCTAGGCCCGAAGCCGCGGGAGTCGCGTCCATCCTGGCCAGTCGTTTGAAGTCCCCCACTGCTTGGGACGTCTCGTGTGCTAATTAGCTGATTCGACACCTCAGGTCTACGGCCTCAAGGGGTCTGTCGGCCTGGAAGTTGGACCCGACCCGGATGACGTTTCTCACGTTTTCCGACGCTGGGGGAGTCGGCGCCGGCGGGGATCTCCGGGACTTCAGAGGAATCCCGGAGGACCCCGCCCAAAGAGCGTGGATGGTGCTGGCCACCGACCGTAGTGTGCTGGAGAACAGAGCTGTTCGAGTTTCCTTGTTAGGCTGGAGGTCCTCCGAGTTGAGACGTCGGGTTCCGTCCACGCTTGCCGGGGAAACTTTAGCTCTGGCTGCCGCAGTAGCAGAGGTGGAGTTTCTCCAGGTACTATACAGGGACGCCGCGTGTCAAGATGTAGATTTACCCGAATGTTCTCGAGCCATATCCCCCTTCACGACTGTTCTCCGCCAAGACTGCCGCCTGGGTCACCGAGAGCGGCAAGTGCATATTGTCGACGCCAAGAGTGTGTACGACACGCTAGTACAGGACGGGATGGCTTCCGCCAAGGATAGGCGCACGGCGCTGGATCTGGCCATCATCTGTGAATCGTTAGAGAGGTCTGCCAGGGCCATCCGTTGGGTGCCCCATACCAAGATGCCCGTTGACCCATTGACTAAAGACGATATAACTCAGGTCAACGCTGCGCTGTTTGAGCTGATGGCGTCCGGCAAGTTACTCTTGGTGGACGAGGCCAGCGAGCTCGTCGAACGAAAGGCGGACCCAACCCAGAAGGGGCGCTCCCAGGCCACTGCAGCCCGTGTCCCAGCCCGGGCCCGTCAGGAGATCCTGTTGGTCCTCGTTTGTTCAGAGTGAGGAGGTCTCGAGGCCTGGCCAGGGGTTTCCCAGATGTCCTCTCTCTCTCTTTCTCCCTTCTGTCCTCCGGTTTTCCACCGCATATTGCTGCTTGGTTTCACTCGATGTCTTCGAGGTGAAGCAATCTCGAGTCGACAGGGGAGGGAGGGGTGTGAGGACACCCCTGCTAAACCTACGAGAAAGTTTGACCAGTGTGGATACGGGCCTCTCGTACCGTCCTAGGTTTAGCATTTGTAGTTTCGTCGCAAAGGCCCCTCGAGATCTCGTGGGGGCCCAATGGGATTTGCGATCCGGATTCATGTTGGGCCCAAGTGGAAAAGCATTCGCTGCCGCTCCTGCTGCCCCACGTTGCTTTTGTCGGTAGTATAGTGCGCTAGAGATGCAGCGCTGCCTGCGCCATGACGCCGCGGCGCCCGACAAAATGATTAAGCCTGCGTGATGTTCGTGCAAGGAGCGAGCGAGGCCTAGCTCGCCCGCCCGTTGCCCTGCTCCTTTCCCAGCCTGCGACAGCGCCCCACGGGACCCCAACCGCCCTCGCAAGTGGCGACAGTTTCGTAGATCGCAGACCCCCCCGGGATGGCGAGGTCTAATATGAGTCTGGGTGGTGCTTGAATTCAATGGACCCCCCAGCAGCCCTCGAAAGTGGCGACGCTTTCGCAGATCGCACCCCCCAGGGATGACGAGGTCTATTATGAATTTGCGTGGGACCCTACTCCACTGGCCCCCCCAACAGCCCTCGAAAGCGGCGACAGCTTGGCAGATCGCAGCCCCCCAGGGATGGCGAGGTCGAATCTGGGCCGGGGTGGTGCGTCACTCCGCTGGACTCCCCAAAAGCTTTCGAAAAGTTGCGACAGTTTCGCAGGTCGCTGCCCCCCAGGGATGACGAGGTCTAATATGAGTCTGCGTGGTTCCCCACTCCGCTGGCCCCCCCAGCCGCCTTCGAAAGTGGTGACATATTCGCAGATCGCAGACCCCCCAGGGATGACGAGGTCTAATCAGAGTCTGCTTGGGACCCCACCCCGCTGGCCCCCCCAGGAGCCTTCGAAAGTGGCGACACTTTCGCAGATCGCATCCCCCCACGGATGACGAGGTCGAATCTGAGTCTACGTGGTTCCCCAGTCCGCTGGCCCCCCCAGCAGCACTCGAAAGTGGCGAGATATTCGCAGATCGCTGCCCCCCAGGGATGACGAGGTCTAGTATGAGTCTGCGTGGTTCCCCACTCCGCTGGCCCCCCCAAGCAGCCCTCGAAAGTGGCGACAGCTTCACAGGTCGCAGCTTCCTAGGGATATCACAGCCCCCCAGGGGTGACGAGGTCTACTCTGAGTCTGCGTGGGTCCCCAGTCCGTTGACCCCGCCAGCAGCCTTCGAAAGTGGCGACACTTTCGCAGATCGCAGCCCCCCAGGGATGGCCAGGTAGGAGGCAAGCCGGCACGCAGGAAGGAGCGAGGCGAGAGACAGGAGAGAAGGGGAGAGGGGGCGGGAGGAGGTGTGCGACGGCGGTGCTCTCTTGAAAACGAGAACCCAACACAGGAGGGTTGTGAATCATCGAAAAATCGCCCTCGGCCAATTTTATGATTTCTTTTAGCATATTCCTCCTGCAGAGGGACATGCCCGACTCAACCGTAAAGCCACGCAGCATCACGGGACGCACCCCGACCGTAGCTGAGCTAACCCGTGTGGCTCCGCGGACCCCTCGGGGCTCGGCCCCCCGGCGGCCGCGCTACGGCTGAGGCAAGCCGCCTCCCAGAGCCGGGCGCAGCGGGCCCCGTATGTCGGTGCTCGCCGCCCACCAAGCCACCCCAATCCAACCCGAAGGTCCCACTTGCCCTTCATTTCCAGTGGGTGGGGGGTCGGAGAACATCGAAAAAACACGTGTGGAACCCGTACCTCCCCGAACCCGAAATTCGGGTCTTCGGGTTAGGTTGGGGTGGCCTGGTAGGTAGTCAGGTGCGCTTGGTGGCCTCGATCGGCAGGTACCTGCGGCCGACAAGATCGGAGGCCCAGAGGTTGACACCCACATCAAAATGTCGGCGGTGTGCCTCCACCGAGGGAAGATGCTCCGCGATCTCGGTGATGGTGGTAATGTTAGGTCGGGCCTGTCCCTCTACAGGAGCAGTATTCAAAAAAAGTCAAAAAATAGTCTGGGGACGATGTTTCTAGCATGTTTTGTTTATGTTGGAGCATTGTTGACTATTTTTTATTTTTCCTCCGCCTGTAGGGGGACATGCCCGACCTAATGGTAATGTTTTTGGGCTTCCTAGGTGGCCGAAGGATTATTACCGCCAGCACCAGCATCTGTAGGATCATCTCACCCTGGGTGGAGGCGGCCCCCCGTATTGGTGTAACCTCCAGGCCTCCCACAAGAGGGGGCCTCGTGCTCACGGAGCGCTGCTTCGCCCGCAGCGGCGGTGGTTCCTACGGCGCCGTGGAGTGCCGGGTCGTCCTCATGCCCATGGTGCACGTGGCTGTTCGGAGCCTCTTCGAGGCGACGCTGCGTAGCGAGCGCTTCGCTCGCTTCCAGGTGGTGCTGCATGAGGGGCCGGCTCCTGGATGCACGCAGGAAGAGGGCGAGAGGAGTTGGCGGTTCGTCCGCTCCCTGCATAGCGCATCGCCACTTGCCCTGCTCCTGGAGCTCTCCTGGCACGTTTTTTTGGCCGGGCCCCTGGCAGCCAGCAATGCGCTCTGCCGGCGCGTCGGCTGCGAGCCGTTAGGCATGCAGCCCGAGCCCTTGTGTCCAGTTGGCAAGACTGGCCACGAGCAAAACTTCGTGGCCACGGACTCGGCCTCTTTGGGGGAGACGCTCCTGGTGATGGTATCCTTCGGCCGTCACGATCGTCGGGCCCAGCGATTGCTCCAGACGTTGGCCGACCTCGCTTCCGCTCCTCCAGGAGGCCCTCGTGGTCCAGGAGGGAGCCGGGCTTTCAGCGCAGTGGTGCCCTGGGGCGTGGCACACATGGCCCACATCGAGCAGGGCATCGTCGAGCTCGGCTTCGAGGAGGTGCAGGAGGAGGCGCAGGAGCACCTCGCGTGCAGCTGGGGTGCCTGCGTCTGTGCGCACCTCTTCGTCTGGTCGTGGTGGTGGGCGATCCATTTAGGGGAACGAAGCATGAGATAAACATAACTCGGAGGTCCGCGCGGATTTCTCGGATCGGCGCTGGACCCCTCTCCCTGGCGCCCCGCGGCGCCGGAGGCGCCACCAGGGGGTCCAGCGCAGATCCGAGAAATCCGCGCGGACCTCCGAGTTTCTATGGTTATGTCCTTCTTCGTTCCCCTATCCATGCCGCTGCCGACACTTGGACTCTCTGGAGGGCCGAGGGGCGCCTGGCCATCTCTATGCCTTTCTTCTGGCTCTGTGGGGCGACGCTGCACCTGGGGCCCTCCGCAGCGGCACCTGGCGGCGAGGAGGCGCGGGCCACTGGCCTCCGCAGCCTCGTGCCTCCCGAGGGGTCGCTGCAGCGGTGGTGGCGTCTGTGAGCAGCCGGTGGTGCGCCCGCCCAGCATGGAGGGTCAAAACAAGTCTTAAGTCGGGCGTGTCCCTCTACAGGAGGACTATTGAAGAATAGCCAAAAATACGCAAAAAAACAGTATGGGGACGATTTGACTGTTATTGTTGGACTAGTTTTGAGCACTTTGTTTGACTCTCTTTCATTTTCCGTCCAAAATCCGCCTGTAGGAGGACATGCCCGACCTAAAGCAAGCCTGGTCAGCCCTCTCAAAAGAACTGCGCACACGCAGCAGTTATACCACAGATCTCTCCCAGAAAGGATTTTAGTCCGATGGCGTTGCCGCACGATTCGGCCACCGCGCTCGGGGTGGTGGACTGGAAAGAGGGGTCGGGGAGTGAAGTTCCCAAAACTAACGCAACAAGCTGTCTCGCTCAACCCCCACTCGCCCTCGAGCGTGTTTTTTAATCCTCTGGGCCATAACGCTTGTGATGCCCCTCCTCCCCCCCTCCCATAACGTAACGCTCCACCACCCCCCTAGTGCGCCTCCGGCACTGCCACTCTGATGCTCGCAGGCTACAGTGGTGCTGGCAGGCTACTTTAACGTCCACGGCCTAGCGTAGCGATGACAGGCTCGTTGCCCATGCTTGCAGACATGGTGCTGCGCTCGGAGGCTATTGTCGCACATGCAGGGTCTGCCAGTTTTTGCGCACGCGAGGGTCACTTGGTACTCTGGTGCTGGCAGGGCCGCGAGAGTTGTGGTAGTGGCATTGGTAGCAGAAACAGTGGCAATAGTCGCAGCAATGAAAGTGACATCAGGAGGAGGAGGAAGAGGAGGAGGAGTTGGAGGGGGGAACGGGGTGTCCTTGTAATCGTCGTCGTGGTTTTCTTGTGGTCGTGGTGATCGTTGTTGTGTTTGTCGTTGTCGTCGTCGTCGTCGTCGTCGGCGCGTGGTCGTCGTTGTGACTGTCGTTGTGACTGTCGTGGTGACTGTCGCAGTCGTCGTAGTATTTGTAATTGTCGTCATAGTCGTCATGATCGTCGTCGCGGTCGCCATCGTGGTCGGCGTCGTGTGGTCGTCGGGATCGGAGTCGTAGTAGTCGTCCTGTTGGCGTTGGCTTCCTGAGTGTGGTCGTCGTTGTCGTCGCGATCGTCGTCGCGTTCGTTGTAGTAGCTGTCGTCGTCGTAGTCATAGATCGTAGGTGGCTGCATTATCAAAGTATTCTGCACGCTTGTACCTCGAGTTCACGGGGCAGAAGATTTCCTGAGGGTCGAAGAAACATTGCATAACCACCACTTCTCGGAGCTCCTTGGGAATTTCTGGGATTGGCGCTGGGTTCCCCTGGCGATGCCTCCGCCGCCGCCCCTGGCACCGTTGTTGCCCGCACCTCTCCTTCTGGCCAAGGGGCGCCCAGACTCTGCGCAGAACCCCTGCCCACTACAGAAGTGTAATCAACTCAGGGGTTGTGGTGTCCGCAAGCGCTGCGGTGCACCCGCGCGTTGCGATGTGCGCAGGCGCTGCGGTGAATGCGGCTATCGTGATGCACGCGGGCGCTGTGGTGCACGCAGGCGCTGTGGTGCACGCAAGCACTGTGGTGCACGCGTGCAGCACGCATCGGAAACAGGCAGTGCGGTACAGATTTGAGAATGTTCGTGTTATGCTTTGGTTCTGGAGGCGGTAGAAGCAGACGATTGTAGCACCCTTTACTGTGCAACGTAGATGCAGCACAGCGGCAGCAAAGACCAGCACGAAATAATTCTCGAAGGAGAGTGTGGAGGATGCAAACACTTTGGTGTTGCACGATGGTGCACGCATGCGCTGCGCAGCACATAAGCGATGTGGTGCACGTGGCTGCGGCGGTGCATACTGTGCTACGCACTGTGGTGCCTGCTGTGATGCACAAAGGCGCTGTGGTGCCAGAGCCACACGGCGGGCGGGGGGGGGGGCGTTACGTTATGTCCTCCCCCTTGCCCCCCCCCCCCACAAACACAAACACACACACACACACACAAAACGCGTCATGGCCGCGAATATTGAAACGCGCTCTTCCCGCCGCATAAGTAGCACCCAAGACTCCACATACAGTAGATGCACCAAGTAAGACACCAGCCTGCCAGCAGTCGCCCAACGGACATTTCTTATCCCACGATGGCCCCAGGGACCGACAAACGCTTCGGGACACCTGTTGAAGTCCAGGGGTCAATGAAGAACGTGCTTCAAGATTTCCTTTAGTAGGATGTCTTATCGTATGCACCTACTGTAGGCAGCGGTTGTCTCCCGACAGGCAGCCATTGGGAACCAATACAGACGCAAGGTGCGACACACACACACACACACACACACACACACACACACACACACACACACACACACACACACACACACACACACACACACACACACACACACACACACACACACACACACACACACACACACACACACACACACACACACACACACACACACACCACACACACACACACACACACACACACCACACACACACACACGCACACACGCACACACGCACACACGCACACACCATACACACACACACACGCACACACACACACACACACTCGAGGTCCGCCACTTGTGCCAGGTGCGCCACGCGCACCTGGTGCGCCAGGTGCTCGTGCGCGCCAGGTGCGCCAAGTGCGCCGCATGCTCCAGGCGCAGCAGGCGCGCAAGGTATGCAATTGGCACGACGCGCGCAGACTGTGCCAGATGCGCCAGGTGTGCTAGTGCAAGAGGCAGCACACATCAGGCAATGCGCGGGCATTCCCCCCATTCATTGCTAAAGCCAATGCCAAATAGCGACGGGGCGCTTAGCATCGCGTGTGGTGTGTGTGAGTGTGCGCTTTTGATGTGTTTTGTTGGGGATTGTGGGGCCAGCGTGCAGCGGCAACCATGCAGGCAAAGCGATGGCGGGGTGACCGTACATTGTCCAGCTTTGGCCGCAATGTGCATTTCGGCTTTTGTCAGGGATGGTTGGGCGCCGCATGGAACCTAGTTGGTGGCCACTCCAGTGGGGGAATATTGCTTCTGTTCCCCAAGTAGGAGGAGGATGAAGAGGAGAAGGACGAAGGCGAGTTCCCATGCGGGTTCTGTGGAAAGGGGAAACTGAACTGGCGTGACTCGCGAGCAGCGGGAATGATGGCAGGAACTTCGACAAGTAAGATGGTCTTCTGAGACCCCGCGCGGTCCGACACGGCTCGCTTGGAGGGGGAAGCACGGTATCGTTGTGATTCGCAGGTCGCGGGACTTGTATGAGTTTCGACAGATCGTCAGGGTGTTTCGATAGCCCGCGCGGTCCGACGCGGCTTCCTTGGACGGGGAAGCGTTGTATTGGTGGGTCCGGTGGCATGGCCTTGGAACGGGAAACTGGTGGGACTGTGTCGACGCGGTCTCCCTGGAAGGTAAAGCGTTGTACCAGTTGGCTTCGCACGCAGCGGGTTCGGCACGAGCCCCGACGAATAATCTGGTGGTCTGGCAGCTCGTGCGGTCTGGCGCGGCTGCCCGGGGGGGAAGCGAAGCGCGGCGCTGGCGGGACGCCCAGGTAGAGGGAATGGCAGGGCCTTCGATGAGTGTCGGGGTCGTCCGACAGCCCGCGCGGTCCGACGCGGCCTCCCTGGGGGCATGGGTGCTGCGACCCTGGAAGGGTGAGCGCGGCACTGGCGGTGGAGGAGGAGCTGGGGAGACGGTGGGGCGGTGGATGCAATGAGAAGACAGGAGCCACACTCGAACTTGAGCTCCATGCGCCACGGGCCTCAGTTGTGGTCTTCGCAGGAAGCGAAGACCAACAAAACAATACATCAAGTGTACACGCACACTTGCCAGGTCAAGAGGCTATCCGTCACCCTAAGACCTTTTTGTTCAGCAAGTTGTTAGGAATGTTCTCATATTCGTTGCTGTAGCTGCCGACAGTGTACCTGGTGCTGACGACGTGGAAGAAGCCGACGGTGGCCGAGCTGCGCAACAGGAATTCATCAAAACAACGCTCGCGCTGTACAGCGGAGGTACGTTTTCACATTGGCATATGGGGGTCTTCGTTGGCCAGCGCCCAATATGCCAACCGGTGGCCACACGCGCACACGCACACACACACACACACACACGCACACACACACACACACGCGCACACACGCACACACGCACACACACACACACACGCACACACACACACACGCGCACACACACACGCACGCACGCACGCACGCACAAGTTTTTCGATCGGATGCCGCCGGGGCGGACAAAACCGCTCGAGCGCACGGAGTCGCCCGCCCGGCGAAACGAACGACCGCCAGGCTAGCGAACCTCCCAGGGACACCTTGGGAGCTGGAGAGCGTCGTCGTCGTCGTCGTCGTCGCGTCGTGGCGCCGTCGTCGTCGTCGCCGTTGTCGTCGTCGTTGTCGTCGTCGTCGTCGTCGTCGCCCCGACCACACGCACGCACGCACTCACTTCGTTCCCCTTCGCGGGCCAAGTGGCTTCGCCACAGCAGTCGACAGCATGGGGCGCAGGCTATCGTGCAGGCACACACACACAAGCACGCACACGCACACATGCACACTTTTTCGTCGGCGGCAAGGCAGGGGGTCGTCTGCGCTGGCGGATGAAGCTAA